TTTCCCAACAACCCCCCCCCCCCAAAAAAAAAAAAAACATTGAAATTTTCTTAGTGCCTCACTCATGGGTTAATTAAAATATAAGAGGTGGAATTATAATTTTTTGATTTTGATTTGATTTTTATAATTATTTTTACTCAAAAATAAGAATTTTCAATATTAATTCATTTAATTAATCAAAGTAAGGTTTCTGTTCTTATTGGAGGTTCACTTAGGTCAGAGAACCACTTGGACCAAATTTCATGATTTTTTGAAATCCAAACAAATCTAATGAACTAAGGGCCCGTTTGGGGCAGCTTAAAACTGTGGTGGCGTTTTTGAAAACGCCGCTGTAGTGTTTGTTTCGCACGTTCGGCCAGCTTTTTAAAAAACGTAGTTTCGAATTTGGCATAATCTGACCCGCGGTATTACCCCTGCGGTTAGCGTTTCCTTCGCTGCGTTTAACCTTGAATTACTTCCGCTGCCCTTCACATAAACTGTCGCGAATTACCTCGCTCTTTGCCTACCTCGCGATCCCTAGCCGCTCCCTGCTTCCTTCTACTCCCTCGCAGCTTCTTCCATCAGCAATAAGCTCAGCTCTCTTGCTGCTTCTTCCGTCCGCAATAAGCTCCTCTCTCTGCTCTCTCGCTGCTTCTTCCGTCTCTCTAGCTGCTTCTTCCGTCCACAATAAGCTCCTCTCCCTGCTTCTTCGGCGTTAATCCTAGGAGGCCAGCAGCTCCTCTCTTCGGCATTTATCCCCTTCCAGGTAAATCCCTTCTCTCCTTGGTGATGTAAGATGACTTGCCATCTTGATGTTGCACGTTCTAATGGCAAGTAGTGACTGCTAAGAAAAGTGATGACTTATTAAGAAACGAGGGAATGATTGGATGTTTGGTCGTTTGTTTCCTGTAACTTTTTGAGATATCCTTTGGTATGTTTGATGTGTGGGTTTTGGCTTTTTTGTTGATGGTAATGGTGCAATTGGGATGTGAGGGATTACCGATGTTGAAAGGGCTCTTGTGGATATGCATTTTTGCTTTGGGTTGTGGCAGTGATGGGGGTGTTTTCTACCAGGTTGGTGGTTGTTTTGGGACTAGGTTGTGGCTGGGTGGGGGTTGTGATGGAGGTGTGATGGGGGGTTGGCTGTGGTTTTGATGAGGGGTGTTTTTTGCCCGATTGTTGGCTGTCTTAGGACTTTGACCCAATAACTCATTTCTCTACAGGGTCTACTGTCTTCTTGTAGTGATGGATTCATTTGTTGGTATATTGAGTTCTCTGAGACCTCGCACCTGTAAAAAACTGTAATTTATTAATTCTTTCAGCAATTTCAACTTCTATTGTGACTCATGAATTGTCTTTTTAATCATTCAGAAATAATGAGCTCCAGGATTTCAAGGACCTCCCGACGAGTGCGCTGCCACTGCGGATTATACACTTCCCTACTGACGTCACTTCAGGCACATAGTTACAAAAGAAATTTTTATAGGTGTTGGCGGTGGGCAAACGGTCAGGAGAAGTGTCTTCTTGCAGCGGGCAGGCGGTTATGCAAATTTCATTGTTGATAGTGATTGGGGTTAGATGACATCCCTGGAGGACGACGTAGCTCGGGACATACGCCGTCTGGATTTTAAAATTAATATTATCATATATTTTAATGTAATTTTAATATTTTTTTTTTCTTAGTACATTTGATACTCACTGTTATATAAGGTGTGTATCTTATTTTTTTTACTATTCTGAAGAGATTTTTTGCTTCTCAAGTATCAAATATATTGTTATGACAGTTTTGTTGCAAACAGGATTGCTACACAGGAGCAAAATGATTGTTTATATACAATTAGTTGTAAATCAGTTGTTTTCTAACATAACAAATCAAACAGCCAACTAGCTTATCCAGATCAGCTGCTGATCAGCAGCTTATTTGAATCAGCAGCTTATCAGCATAAGCTGGATAAGCTGCAGCTGCCCCAAACAGACCCTAAGTCCTTTAGTGAGACAGTCAGGCACTTGCTCTTCAGTGTTTACATGACTTAGCTCCAGTAGCCCGTTATTTAGCTTTTTCTTGGTGAAGAATCTATCAATATTTACATGTTTGGCTCTATCGTGTTGCATTGGGTTGTTGGCAATTATGATTGCCAACTTGTCGCACAACAATTTCATTTTAGTTTCTTGGTCCACCTTGAGCTCAACCAACAAGGCTCGCTGCCTTATCTTTTCGGCAACTCTTAAGGTCATGGCCCTGTACTCCGCCTCTACTGTTAACCTTGCTACTACATACTGTTTCCTGCTCTTCCAAGAAACCAAGTTACCCCTTATAAACATATAGTATCTTGAGGTGGATTTTCTGTCATCTGCACACCCCGCCCTGTCAACATCACAAAAGCCCTCAACGGCTGCATGCCAATTCTTTTTGAAGATCAACCCCTTCCCTCGTGCACTCTTCAAGTACCTCAGAATCTGATACATTGCATCCATATAACTCTTCCTTAGATTATGCATGCAACACCTCACCACGCTCATTGCAAAAGAGATGTCGGGTCGAGTGCGACACAAATATATCAGATGACCCACCAATATCTGGCTCCTCTCACGATCAACCGATTTATCTGCCTCTAGTCAATTGGAGAGACTGCAAGTTTGCCCTTAACGTGACCGTTTCCTTGAGGAGATTCGGTACATACTTTATCTGGGACAAAACCATCCTCTCCGGTCCACAGATCACTTCAATCCCAAGCAAGTATCTGAGCTGTCCAAAATATTTAACCTCAAATTCATTGCTCAATCTTATCTTTAGTTGAACAATCTTTGCCTCATCATCGGTGCCAATGATGTCATCAACATACACAAGTATAGCGGTCTGATCTGCATGTTGTCGAAAGAACACTGTATGATCTGCTGACATCCCATGCCAACTATAACTTTTTAAACTTGCTAAACCAGCTCGAGGAGATTGTTTCAAGCCATACAGTGACTTCCTGAGCCTACACTCCTTTCCGATTGTCTGCACTGTATCGATTCCCGGTGGTATCTCCATATATATGGTATCTCCATATATATTTCCTCTTGTAACTCACCATGAGGAAATGCAATCTTCACATCAAGGTGGTGTAACCTATACTCACTATTCACTGCCAGAGAAACCAGTATTTTCATTGTACTTATCTTTGCTACAATTATAAAAGTTTCATCATAGTTAATGTTACATGTCTGACTGTATCCTTTCGTGATCAGTCGCTTCATTGTGAAGATCTACCTTCCTTTTTGAAGTTTGCTTCATTTTGATGGTCCAATTGCACCAAACTATCCTTTTCTCCTTTGGTAGTGGCACTATCTTCAATGTTATGTTTTTATTAAGAATTTTAAGCTCTTCATTCATAGCTGCTTCCATTTGGGGTCTTCTTTAGCAATCTGCAAACACTTAGGTATAAAGAGAATGTCCAAAAATGTAGTGAATGCTTCATTTAAATGTGATATATTAGAATATGAAACAAAGTTAGCAATATGATGTTCCCATCCAAAACAATCGGGAGGATGTCCTGCATCGCTGCGAGAGATCCTCCTTAAAGTTGGAGGGTTAAGAGATAGGAGAAGGAGGAGGAATGATATCACCTAGGAGTTTTTAGTTGGAGGTGGATGGTATAGGTGTCTCAAATGTAGGGGAAGACCAGGAGAAGAGATTAGCTGACATAAGTGGCACTGCAGATACCGGTATCTTATTTGGCTTCCTTTTCCGTGTTTACACTCTTAGCTCACATTCAGTCTGAATACCACCACCTTTGGGTTTACTCTCATTTTGTTGGTTCTTTAACTGATTCATCTCACATCACAGGACAAGACATTGCTCTCACGTGTACCACTCTCTCACGACTGTTACTCACCCCCTTTGACTTATATCTCTAGTACTTGGTCTCAGCGATAAAAAGTGGGGGTGGGGGGGTTTGTTGGTTTGGGGGAGGAGTCGCCCGTGAGAAGCTGTCGGTCACCGGAAACTAAATCCCGTTGCCCGCTTCGGAAGGACATTTTAATTTACATATAAATTTAAGTTTAAAATCAAATATAAAATCAAACTGACCCCATGAAAGAGCGCTTTACCTCAAATCTTGTATCTATCCCGAGGGATAAACACAAGACTTGAGGATGAGACTCGATCAGATAAACTAAGATATAGATGACGTCCGTTTGGTCTGCGAAATCGTTTTATTTGCCGATAAATTCCCTTATTTAATATGAAAAATTAAATAATGTTTATTTTAAGCTGGGTTCGGAAAAATTTCCTATAAAGGCAAGCCCCTATAGTTAATTACATCTTAAATGACCGAAATCACT